TACTCAAAAGTTCGATCTCGTTCTAGTTTCATACAGGCTCTTGTCAGACGTATCCGCGGCCTAATGAGAATGTCAAGAAACTGAGAGCCCAAACTTAATACTCTTCTGTGGAAGAGATAAGCTGAGGAGAACTGTCTCCTTTTTTATAGATTAGTGTGTTTCTAAATTATGACCAAAAAATATTTTACTATTACTTTCTTTATATATAGACATCTTTTCTGTAAATTTCTGTCTGATTTCATCCTCACTAGTGAAAAATAAATACTTTTTTAAAAAAAATGTGTAATCATTAGTCTTTTGAAATTTTAACTAGGAATCAGTCAGCACTTCTTAGTGTGACTGTACCCACAATGGTGGTTTTCTCCTGCAGATACTATGAATGTGAAATTAAAGGCACAGTCTGAAAATTCTAATTTTTCACTCTTTGTACATACTTTTATGATATTCAGGGTTATTCCATGGAATAGAGTGGATAATAAAGTATAGCAATGCTCTGTTACTGAATCGTGTTCTCAGTACTATAAAAACACAATATAGAAATGTTCTAAGCTATCTCAGGCTGGAGGTGTGGCTCACGTGAGCCCTGCGTTCAAACCTCAGTTCCTCAGAAGAAAGAAAAAGAAGCCAAGCCATCTCTTAAATTGAGCTTTTGCATGTAAAAATGAAAATTTAATTTGGATTTGTTTCTGAAATGATTGTGAAATTTCTCAACTTAATGATCTGCCTATTTCTCATTAATATGGTTGCTACCCCAAGGCAAAAAAATCAGTATAATGGCTGGGGATGTAGCTCAGTGGTACAGCACTTGTTTAGCATGCACAAGACCCTGGGTTCGATCCCCAGCACCACAAAACATAAAAATAAAAATAAGTAACTCTGTTTCTTGTCCAATTACATTTATATTCAAGTGACTGTCATTTGAAAGTGCATTTTTCCCTTTCCAGCCTGCTATTACTTTAGCCTAATACACAGGTTAAACTTCAGAGAAGGCAGAGAGTCTCAAATCTCGTGTAGAAGCACAAAGTTAATATTTAGTTCCATGCTTTTTGTCTTTAATCTTACAATAAGATTTCCATGGGTTTTAAGCAACTTTTTAAAAAGGCTTGGTCATGCAGATGAATTTAATTACTGCGTACCAGTTATAAGCATTAATCTTTAGTGAGAAAACATCCTATTAGTAAATAGAAGTCTTAATGGTTGATGAATGAGTGATATAACTAGATCCAAAATGTAGTCCTCATACCTGTTGCTCCATAGGTGTGGTGGTTTTTGTTTTGTTTTATAATGCTATGGATGAACCTAGGGCTTTGAACATGTTAGTCAAGTGCTCTACCACTGAGATAGATCCCCAGCCCACATATGGTAACATATAGACCACAGACTCCACTCTGCTATAATAAGCAAAGCCTGGAGCATAGACACTAAGCATTTTATAATGTGAAGCCTTCCACAAGAGATACTAGCCAAATTCGAAATCAAGAGTCTAGGTTTGCTGAACATTTATCTTATTTTCTCATTTACTCTGAAAATACAGCTAACTGGATCAGGAGTTGAGGCAATGAAGTGTGTCAGGGAAAAGTAACAGGAAGGATTGCAGCTGCATTGTGCTGCAGAACTGCTGTTTGACTGACACAATAGGCCCAAGCTAACAGCTGAGAGGACAGGGCCCGATTGATTTTGCTACCTGGGACACAGAGAGAGAGTGTTAGTGACAGCATGCACTCTTCAGCAAACAAAGCAAGGCAAAAGGGGAAAAAAGTAGGTTTAAGATACATTGTTTTATTTAAAGATTTAATGTTTAAATGAAACACTCTTCCATTCCTCAAAAAAAGAAAAAATACTGAATGCCTGTATAGTATTTTATTACTTTTACAGAGTTAATCTTTTGGGGTTGGGATATTAAAAAGATACACTCTAGTTATTACTGTAGCTTTGAAAAATTGGTATGTACATATGTCTTATCTGAGCTTTACAAGTTGTGAATACACAATCTAGCCTTTTCTAAGTGTTTGTCAGGTATTTGCCCAACTTATTTTGAAAAATTTTGAATCTTCAGAAGAGTTAGAAGACAAGTATAATGAACCCATGTATCTTTCACCTCTATTTCCAGTTGTCAACAGTTTGCATGTTTTGCTTTCTCTTTTTATGTGTGTATATACCAGTTTTCTTCCTAAGTGTAGTTAGTCATCATGACATTGTTATCCAAAGTATTTTAGCAGGCTGGTGGAGTGGCTCAAGTGGTAGAGCGCCTGCAAGCAAGCATGAGGCCCTGAGTTCAAACCCCATTGCCAAAACAAAAATTATTTTTGCAAGTAAGAACAAGCATATTTTCATTCCTAGTCACAAAAGAATTGCCACATTTAAGGCATTGGAAACAAAATTTTCTAATATTCCATCTGTACCCAAATTTCTTCAATTGCCTAAAAATGTACTTTAGGATTTTTTTAAACATAGGATCCAATCAAAATCAAATAGTACTTTTAGTTACCTGTTTAGTCATATTTATTCTCAGTTTCTTTCCCTGTTTTGGGGTTTAAGGGGTAACACTAAGTGTTTTGAAAAGGGTTCTGTGGTTCTTGGGGGTGGGGTGGGGTACTAGGGTCTGAACTCAGCATTTGCTAGGCAGATGCTCTACTACTTGAGCCACACCTCTGGGAAGACAGGTGCATGCCACCATGCCCAGCTTTTTCTGTTGAGACAGGGTCTTCCAAACTTTCCACTGGGGCTGTCCTCAAACCAGTGTCTTCCCAATCCCAGCCTCCCAAGTAGTTAGGATTACAGGCACAAGCACCAGTGCCTAGTTACTTTCTTTTGATTAGATTCATGTTAAACATTTTCAGCCAGAATCCAACAGTACAGGTGATACTGTGACAGTCCTATATTAAGTCTGATCAGTTGGTCAAGGTGGTAGTCTGCACACATCTCCATTGTAAGGTTGTTCCTCAAGGTAGTATTTTGTGGGTTGAACTTTTGAGTATCTTGTTCCGCCTTTCAACCACTGCTTTAATCATTTCAATTAAAATACTTTATTTAAAAATTATGTATTGTTTCAGTCACAATAATATAATGACTATAATAAACATTCAGATATCCACTCTATTCGTATACACCTAATTTTATAAAATCTTAAAATTACTCATTTGCTGCAGATCTTTTTTGTGTGTGTGAAAAGAAATATGATACATACCATTGAAATCTCTATGAACTCTTTGATCCCATTCCCCTACTCAGAGATCACTATTGTCAAGAACTTGTTGATTTTCCCATTCTTGATACTTCCAACTACACGTGTGCGCTCATAGGCACCACATAGTATTGTTTTTGCAGATTGTTAATCTTTCTATCTGTGTTATGATACTGTATGGAACAATTCACAGGTTGTTTTTTAAATTCAACATTGTGATTATTTTTCATACTTGTGCACAATGACTATTGAATAGTTACAGTATCCCATTGTAAAAATGCCCTAATTTATGCTTTGTATTTTCCTGGACTGGCAGACATTTAGGTTCCCAATATTTTGCAAGCTGCAAGGATGAAAATATTTTTATATCTCCATATCTCTCTCCTTGGATGACACATATGACATACGAGAGGGCGTCTTAATATTACATAACTAGAAACACCTGCACTGGAGTTAAGAGCCTTACTTTCAATTACATTGCAATATTTTTGCTTATAGGTTGCCCCAATGTGTACCTATCTTTAGGGTGAGGAGTCCTTTGTCCACACCATTGGTAACACTTCCAATTGTCCTACTTTGTTGTTGTTTGTTACTAACCAGGTGTAAAATGGCATCTTAGTTGATTTGACTATTTTGTGTATTACTGCCCATTTTTTTTCCTCTTGCTTTTATTTATTTATTTTTTCCCTATCGGAGATAATTACAAATTCAGAATGACTAATTTTTTCAAGTTTCTTTGCAGATACTTTCTTTCAGTCTGTCGGGTTATCTTTTCAACTTTTTTCAATGTTGTAGATACTTTTCAATGTGTCAGATCTATTTATCTGTACCTTAGTGGTTTGTTCTTTATGTTTTATCTTTTTTTTTTTTTCTTTTCTCCAACTTGACATCATAAAGATGTTTTTTGGTATTTTTCTCTTTTGTCTGTTTGGGGGTGGGGTGAGGAGAGCAATGAAGCAGATGTATAGAGAAAAGTAGAAATGAGAAAATGCTGTGCTTAAATTGCTGGTGGCTTTCCTGTACCTCCTTGTCCGCTGTTGAACAAGTGAGCTAATGGAGCCCCGTTTGTAGAGGCTGAAATCAAACTTTAGAGAGACAGCCATGACTGAATTACTAACTTCCTTCCTGAGTTCTCAGCTAGGATGCACAGCACACTTGTGGCTGTAGGGAACTGCTGAATAAAGACCACGCCACGTGTGGAAAAGAAAGATTTATTACAGACTGCTGGACTGTCTGCCTTGGGATCAGGGAGCAGGGCTTGGCTGGGATGGGCAGTGGGCTTTATAGGAGGGGCCAAGTCATGGGGGAGGGAGAGAGTCTCTGGTCTCCGTTTATCTGTGATCGCCAGATGGATCAGGTGGACATGTCTGCCTAGTTGAGAAACTGGAAGTTCCTGAGATTTTGTAAGCAGAGAAACAAGCAGGTAAGTTTGGCAAGCGGTCAAATCAGGGGTCTGGTTTCGGGACTTCCGCCTGCCCCAAGAATGCCAGGGAACCTAACAGTGGCACTTTTGAAAAATACAGTCTTCCTTCCTCTCTGTGTTGCATAAACTCTCAGGTGACTCGCCGGTTCACACTGGACAGGCCCCCTGCCTCATTCTGTCTTCTAAGCCGGGGACCCTTAAGCTTGGCTGTGTACAGGTTCACCGAAGGCCGATGCTCAGAGCACCTCGCTACCCTGGTTCAGGCGGTGAGCCTGGCTCATTCCGCCAGGGGGCGCCAAGGCGCTGCGAGCCGCTTCCGGGCACAAGGCAGGCGGGGCAGGGCGTGACCCGGAAGCTGATGGCGGGTTCCGCCCTCGCGCCGGGTCGGGCGGGGAGATGTGGGGGGGGCAGGACCGGAGCGGCCTTGGAGCTGTGGGACGTTTCGCGCCCTCCTCGCCTTCTCTGACGACATCATGCTCCAGTTCCTGGTGAGTGGAGCAGCCAAGGAGCAGGGCCCGCAGCAGGGGGTCTCCTCAGAGACTCGGACCTCGCAGCGCCAGCATTGGCAGAGGTCGGGCTTGCGGTCTCCGCGCCTGTCTTAGCCTCGGGGTGGACCGTGGGGTTTTCTCACGTCTCTCCCAGTCTCTTTGCCAGTGTTTATCTGCAGGCATCCATGTTCCTAAAACCTGAAGGGGTCAGGAGAACATTGTTTTCCAAGCTACGTATGGTGTGCTTATTGTGTAATGCTCGTATTAAAGTCTGGTCCTTGGTGACGCTGTGTGGCGTCCCCCCCCTGCTTTTCTGATCCCTAACATAGGCACAGACTCCAGCCCCGACTTAGCGCCTCTGGTTGGCATTTGTGAGAAGGCAAGAGGGCCACTAGCCAGCCACTCCCGGTCAGAGCGACAGGCCGAGGGCGCCTCATGAGACCTTTCGTACTTTTCGAAGTACGAAAGACCCTGAGGAGTGAGCGAGACACTGGTGTACAAGTCATGGTTCCCCCAAATCTTTTGGGTTTTTTTTTTGGCTTTGGGGTGGGGGAGGCATGGAATGAGTACTGTGAGGGAGCAGATGGTTTCTCATCGCTCCTCATTTGAGTTAAAACCCTACTGTCCGGCAAAACTCAGTGTATGTCCAGAGTTGCCTGGTGAGGGTTCCAGGACTTGCCAGTCACCTTTCCAAGGGACAGTTTATCTAGCAAGTTACAGTGTGTTCAAAAGTTGATGCTTTAAACCTTTAATTCTAAGGAGACAGGTGTTCTCTTATCTTTCCTGTGATCAGTGCGGACCTCATGCTCCGAGGAGGAGCTGCTTTTCCACGTCCTTTTGAAAGATGGTAATTGGTCCTTAAATCCAGTTTGCCAAAAGAGAGGATCCTTCACCCAAACTGCCCAGCTAAGACAGGGCTGCTCTTTTGCCTCTGGGAGTTTCTTTAGTGACCCAGGGAAGTGTTCTCTTAGGAGTTAGGAGTAATCACAGTCCTGTCGGAAACATTTAAAAGCAGTACCAGCCCCCAAGTGTAAGATGATATAATGGAGCCTCCCGTTACATTTGTTGCTCCTTGATAAACTGGGAGAGCATCAATTCAATTACAACAGACTTTTTAAGTGCATTTGCATTATCATTTTATTTAGTTTCAGACTAAACTTTTGCTATGTATTAAACATGGGTTCTGATAGAATCTAGCATTCTCAGCATTTAAGGGAGATGCTGAAACCATTCCTTAAATTCCTAGCTCAGCATTAACTGGACACTGATGTTCTTTCGCCCCTTGGTCTCCACCTCCTGCCCAGTTGCTTTGATAGAAGAAGTGTAAGGCATTATTTTTCACATTTCCACCTCTGTCAAATGATTCACTAACTCTTAACTCAGGCACATCTTTCTCTTTGCTTCCGTTATTTCACGTAGAAAACACTGGCCATCATGTCCTATTTTCTGTGTTTCAGTTTCCACCTGAAGATGGAGATGCACCTCCTGGTTTTGTTATAAGGACTGAAAAGGAGTTAATACATTAACTACTTAAGACAGTGGCACTTTAAAGATTGAGATATTGTTCACTTTCGCTTTTTGCAAGACCTCAGTTGAGCTTTGATTAGTTTCTTCTCAGGAGTGAGCATTAGCTTTCCTCAGAAGAGTAGGTGATAGGAGAGGCGTGGAAGTGGTGGAGCTGTCACAAGGTAAGCATATGCCCTGTTCTCGCAGACTTTGGAACCCTCCAGCATGCTTCCTATGGAGTTGTTCCTCGGATCACTGTTGAAAACCCACTGTACTTGATTGTGTTCCTTGTGCTTCTTTCTCCTTGGATTAAAATATTCACCCATCATCCTCATTTCCACAAGTTGTATCTAGTTTAGCTAGTCATTTCTAAGGAAGCTTTCCAAAGGAAGTCTAATGTGATAGTGCTGCTGTGGCTTTGTGCACACCGCCTGTTCTGTGTTATTGTTGTCGATTGTTGCTCTTACCTCTGTAAATCAGCAGCCTTAGGTACTCAAATCATCTTGTTAATCCTTCCTCCTTTTGGTTTTTGGATCCTGTGTCTCGATACTACCTGGCATTCTTTCACATTATAACATGCCACAGTTATTTTTTATGAAAAACCTGCACATAATAAAGGTGACTAGCTCTGGTTGCTGGCCACAGTCCAGGCTAAGGGGATCGTATGTGAATGTACCAGTTGGGAAGCCTCTGTCTAATCTCTCCTGGCCGCTTTTCCCTGCTGTTGGTTACTCTGTTACTCAAGGCTCAGTCCTTGACCATCTGCTCTTCTCTCCAAAGTGTGTTCCTTGTCACGCTGTCACCTTTCACCTCTTTGCTGATAGCTTCAAAACTATGTTGAGGCCTTTTCTCTGGGTTCCACTTCCCTGGTATCAACTGTCAGCATCTCTTGTATACCACTATCTCAGACTCCACATTGTCTGGACCCATTATCCTTTCCCGTCCAGTTCTGACTTCTTTCTTTCTTCACATGCCGTGAATTTCCCAAATTTGAAATATTTTGGGGTTTTTTTGGGCAGTATTGGAGTTTGAACTCAGGGCCTCACACATAACTTGCTAGGCAGGTGTTCTAGCACTTGAGCCACTCTACCCTGTTTTGTGTTGGGCCCTGCTTTTGAGCTTTTGAGATAAGGTCTCAAGAATTACTCGCTGGGGTTGATTTTGAACCACCATCCTCCTGATCTCTACCTCCTGAGTAGCTAGGATTATAGGATTGAGCCACTGGCGTCCAACTCCAAATTTGAATTGTTGACACAACATAACCTTTGAATTACTATTTTTCCTTCATCTTCCCTATCATTTACCTTCTGTGTGCCTGTGCATGTATTCACCTGCTATGCAGTGTTGGGCAAGTTCTTTAATTGCTCTGTGCCTCAGTTTTCTCAACATAAAATCAAGCAGTAATAATATCTGCTTTATAAGGTTAAGAGAACATGAGTTAATGAAAAAAGAGGTTACCTTGTAAGTAGTAAGCACTTAGTAAATGTTATTTTTTGAATCATTAACTCTTCATTGCTCACCTTATGAAAAGTTATTATTTCTGTTCCTACTTTCAACTTTGCAGAAAAAGTCATTTTCATTCCACTCTCAGAGCAGCTATACCAGCTAGCTGGTGTAGAATTTAGGTTTCAAGTTGGAAAGGTTATTTTAGGTTCTCTACTCCAAAAATATGCTGATGCTTAAGTCTTCACTACTAAGGGCCTTAGTTTGAGGACGTATCAGGCACTTAGTCAGTATTTCATAGTTACTGATTTCACTTACAGTCAGCCCTCCATATTGGCAGGCCACACCTGCAGATGGAACAAAGTGTGGATGGAAAGTATTTTAAAAAGTTGAATCTCTATTGAACATGTACGGATCTTTTTCTTGTCATTCCTAAACAATATAGTGGAATGACTATTTATATAATATCTGCATTGTATTAGGTATTACAATTAAAGTAGAGAGGATTTAAAGTATATAGGAGGATTTGCATATGTTACTGTGCCATTTTATAGATGGGACTAGAGCATCTGCAGATGTTGGTACCTGTAGGGATTTTGGAACCAATCCCTTAGGGATCCTCAAGGATGACTTTATTTAATTTTAGGTCTTCCTCTTTCGCCTCTTTACTACTACTCAGTCATAAGATAATTGAATATTTGTGTCACCTTTTTTAAGAACAGGCAAACCAATTCTACCTGATACACCTTTTCCAGAGTGTTTTTCATGAATGTCCCTATTTAATATTGGCACAATTAAAAGCTAACATCTTTCCTTTTTTTCTTCATTATTCTCTAAGCAAAATTAAATAAAACCTAGCTTACTTCTTAAAAATGTGCTTCTCTGGGGCAGTAGTAGAAGGGGAATATAATCCTTAGCAGATTTAAATTTTAATGTACAGAATGTTTTATTATTGAAGCAGTTGTTAAACACATTTGATGTTTTCTACACCAAGCTTAAAAACTAAGCCTCAAAAAATGCTGAATTTTTTTCATGCCTCCTTGTATTGTAGAGGTCATTTGCTTCTTTAGCTGAGTTAAATTGAGAAATATAATTATCCCCCTGTTTGGTTTTTTTTTATTTATGTTAGATAATGCATACTTTTGATTTTCTTGTCTATGTGTAGATTTTCTCACATCAGGCAATAAGTCATTTTTAGGTATTCTTTTGAATGCTGTTTGTAGCTATATTTACTAAATAAAATGGGATTATTTTTAGATTTCTTAAACCCTTGCCAGTGACTTTGGTTTGGGTGTGTTATTTTTGATGAGTCATAGTTCAGACTTGTCAGATACTTTGGGGTTATTGTCAACCACTCTAGGTTATTGCAGGGAGCCATTCCCAGGTAAATATTTTATAGCTTTATTTGCTATACAATAACTTTTTGAATGGGGGAGGGATTGAGCAAATAATAAGTCAAGCTTGTTTTGGAGTTGGCATTGTTCTTTTGAGTTAGTGCTCTTTTATATTAATGGATAAAGTATTGTTAGTAATGTGCTTACATGTCCGTGCATAAGTCAATTTACGACACTTAAATTTTTTTATTTTACTTTTAATTAGCATACAATGATAGTATGAAGAAGTTTCATTGTGACAATTCCATAGATTAGTACAGTATACTTTGAACAAGTTCAACCCCCACCTTCCCCACCCCCTGCTTTTCAAACACCATTTGGTGGATTTCATTATGCTATCTTCACATATGTAGTGCTCTCATATACAGAGCCAGTGTTTAGGTGACTGGGTCCTCCCTTTTCATTTCTGACATTTCTTTCTTTTTAAAGATTTGTTCAGTCTGGAACCTGTGACATTATCAGTTTTATCCCAGGTAGCTGATATTACTTTACCAAATTTTAATGTTTTGGGCTTGAAATATAATCCACCCATTTAAAGTATATCATTGACATTTTTAATGTGTTTACAGGTTGTACAGCCATCACCACAATCTCATTTTATATTGAATGTCTCATTACCTCAGAAAGAAACCTTGTACACATTAGCATTCATTTCTCTTCCCCTTTCCCTCCCCCAACACTGGACAATCACCAACTTGTGTCTGTGGAATTGTCTATTCTGGATATTTCCTTTAAATAGATTCATACAATATGTAGTCTTTTCTGATTGCCCTCGATAGTTTTTTCAAGGTTCATCTACATTATAGCATGAATCGATGCTTCATTCCTTTTTTTTTTTTGTTTTGCGGTACTGGGGTTTGAGCTCAGGGCCTACACCTTGGGAGCTTGTTTGGAGGTTCTGGCAGGGGCCGCAGCTACTCGTATGCCCTGGCCAAAGAACGGCCCTCTATCAGGGATGGTCGTCCTCTTCCACTGAAAGCACAGCTTTAGGAGGGACACACATAGAGCAGTGAGGGAGGAAGGACACCCTACCTAGCCAGCCTGATGAGCTGAATCAACCCTGGTGATCAGTGGGGTTACAGATGTTGCAGCCAGATCGCCCTCACATCCCAGGGCTTATACCTTGAGCCACTCCCCCAGCCCTTTCTTGTGATGAGTTTTTTCAAGATTGGGTCTGATGAACTGTTTGCTCAGGGATGGCTTCGAACTGATCCTCCTGATCTCTGCCTTCTGAGTAGCTAGGATTTCAGGCATGAGCCACCTCCGCAAGGCTTTATTCCTTTTTTATGGCTAGATAATATTGTATTGTATGGATGTAATATTTTGACCATTTTAACATTTGAATTGTTTCCACCTTTCAGCTATTAGAAAATAATCTTACTAGGAGTATTCATGTGTAAGTTTTTATGTGGGTTTATGTTTCACTTCTCTTAGATATGTACCCTAAACTGGAATTGTTACACAGCATATGATAACTATGCTTAGTTTTTTGAGGAACCTCTAGACTGTTTCGAGAGTGGCTGTCACATTCCCACCAGTAATATGACTGTGGTTTCTCCACATGCCAATGAACATTTGTTCAGTTTTTGATCAGAGCCATCCTGGTAGGTGTGACATGGTACTCATATGGTTTTGATTTGCATTTTCCCAGTGACCAATGATGTCAAACATCTTTTCATGAGCTTGGCAATTTGTATCTTTTTTGGAGAAATCCCTTTGAATCTTTTGCTCATTTTTAATTGGATTATATGTCTTTATTATTTAAAGAGTTCTTTATTTTGGGTACAAGTACTTTATCAGATATATAATTTGTAAATACTTTATCCTATTCTGTGGTCTGTCTTTTATCTTTTTTTTTTTTTATGGTAGTCTTTGAAATACAAACATTAAAAAATTTTTTTTTTCTAAGGATGGGAGTCTGCTTGAGCCACACTTGCAGTCCATTTTGTTCTGGTTGTTTTGGAGATGGGGTTTCACAAACAATTTGCCCCAGCTGGTCTTGAACCAGGATCCTCCTGATCTCAGCATCCCAAGTAGCTAGGATTATAGGAGTAAGCCATGGGCACCCATTTTCCCTCAACATTTCTTAACGAGTGACATTTGTATTGTGTAGTAGATTTAAAATAACTCATTGTTAGATCTGGTAGCATTTCTGAATCTGGAACTGGATGCAGCTTGTTTTAGAGGCCCATGGTTTTGTTTTGCGTCTTAAAGTAGCTGGTAGTTTTTCATGTGCTTGCTGCCTGGTGACTGTTTTGAGACATACATAGTAAGAACTAGGAATCTTAGAATGTTAGACCTGCAACACTACATTATTATTACAGTGCTTTAGAAGTCAGAAAGGTCAAATTAGCAAAGCTCTGGAGAGGCTGTCTTGCCTAGAAGCACACAGATAGGTAATGGTAGAACCAGAACTCATTTTTCTTGACATTTCCTCAATCCTCATTTTCTTGACATTTTCTCTTCTTTTAAGCATATTTAGTTATCTTTTGGGATTTGGAAAACATCTGTCAACCTCATTTTAATCTGTTCAAGTGGAAAAAAATCATTTTGCTTTTTGATGCCACGTTGGTAAAAATTTTGCAAATATCTCTAATTATACAGATGATCAGAAAATGGTCTATAATTAGAGACTAGAAAGCCTCTTTTATGTTTCTGGGTATTTAAAGGTCCCACTTGTATTCTGTTCCCCATATGCACCTCCAGTTTAAAGATAAGGCTAGACCAAGGCATGTGTGTCACATTGTTTTTCTACTAAGATTGAACAGAAGCAACACTGATTAGACAAAATGATGAACAAAAGTGGATGCCAGTTTGAATTTATAAAATTAGAAATTAGGCTTCAGTTGGAGACTTTTTAATTACTAGGAGAAAAACAGAATTATTAAAACTCAAAGCTAAGGAACTGTGGCCCTTTTGGTAAATGGAGAATACTCAGAAGTTTTCATGAAACAATTTTTTTTTCAGGAAAATGGTTACCCGATGGGAGGATAGTTACAGTTCTCTAAAAATCATGCCTGTTCCTCCTGTGACTGAGTTGGAGCCATGTTCTCCATAGGCATTAAGTGCCCTGTTAGCCGTGGCGGAATGCCATGCTCAGGGGCATGCAGAGTGTCCTGCTCTCTTCTGTCACTACATGTTGTCGCTTTCAAGTGTGCTGTGTAGTTTAGGTTGTCCCATAGTCTTTGTTCTAATGACCCTGAGCAAGTCACTTCACTATCCTTTTGAAATACGAAGAGATTGAACCATGAGAACTGAGTGTTTTTAATTGAATAATTTTTATTTGTTATACAGGAAAATGATACCCATAACAGCAAAAAATTAAAAAAAAAAGGCAGCATTGAGTAACAAACTCAGAACTTTGACTTGGATTTCTATAACTTACAGTCAAGAATTTAGATGAGTTGTGAGGTAACAATGAGATTTTAGGGTAGATTTGTTTATTGCCACCATTTAGTCTTTGTTTTGTATGTTCTTTAACCTTTTGAGGAAGGATATGTCTGTGGTTATTTTACAGAAGAAAAATGAATTTCATGTTGTACATAGTCTTACTTTGGATACCAGGGTCCTTTACCTGTCCTGAGCTCCTGTGTGTCTTGGTTTAGTTGCAGACTGGCACAGGGCTTGGTATGCAGTATAACTCTTCCTGTTCTGTTCTTTCAGCTTGGATTTACCTTTGGCAACGTGGTTGGTATGTACCTGGCTCAGAACTATGACGTAAGTGGCCATATTCATGTCTTCCTTGATTCCATGTAACGATTTTGTAATGACTTTTCTTTGCTGCAGTAAGGTGTGCCTTCTAGATAAAAATGAAGTCCATAAGTCTAAGGGAAAAGTTCCGAATTACATAGAAAAGTTTTCTACTCTTTGAAAAAAATAATCTAATTTATAGAAGCATCTGTCATCTTTCACCACCAGAGGGCAAAATCCCATCAGTTTAGGTGGTCTCAGGATGATCCCAAGCTGTGCTCATCAGCTCAGAGTAATAGTAAGTTGGTTCTATGGAAAATTGTGTGATAAGTGAGAATTTAATCTTCTCAGCCCCCATGCTGAGATGACTGAGATTTTTTATCTAGATCTATATAGTGCAACACATTAAAGGAGGCCAGGCTTTGGTGAAGGTGTTAACCTTGGATGGGGAGATTGAAAACCAGGTGGGTACAAATGCCCATGAATGGGAGTCCTAGATGGAGTTTTAAAAAGACAAGTGAGGGATACATATGATTTATAGTGAAGTTTTTAGTATGACAAACAGAATTTCTTTTATCAACTTTCACTTGATTCATCTTTTTTTTTTAGGCTTTATTATTATTTATTATTTATATCACATTTATTGTTTTTATATATAACTTTTACTTTGCACCAGATTGAGTGGGCTAAGTGGGCACCTAACGGTAGAATTCAGAGTCCAGCTTTCAGAGAGGTAGCATTAACTTAAAACTTTTGGTATCTTTCATATGTAGTTATGAGGCTAAGAAATACCACTATTGAGCAGGTCTCCTTCAGAGGAAAATAAAAACTTGGAAAACTGTTTATCCTTGGAGGAAGAGAAGTAAAAGAATATTGATTAGGTAGATGTAAAGTTATAATAATCTAGTTTTGTTTTGTTTTTAAGATTCCAAACCTGGCTAAAAAAGTTGAAGAGATTAAAAAGGACTTGGAAGCCAAGAAGAAACCCCCTAGTTCCTAAGGCCCACTCCAGCACTGTGTTCTGGATTCACCAATTCTACTGCTTCTGAGGGGCCGTCTTCACTTCCTAATCCCAAAACTCTTGCTCTCTTCTCCAGTCTCAGCGATTTTCTTCTTTCTAGATGCTGTGTGTTGCCTCAGAGAAAAATGGGGCTACAAGTTGAGAACTACCCTTTATCTTACCAGCAGCCTCACCTCTTCCCTTGTCTTCCTTCTAGCTTCTTGGGAGGTTCTAAGACTGGATTACGGTGCTAGGTTAGCAAACACAACCTTTAATTAGTAGTTTATTTCCTCTTTGGGATTTCTGCTACCTTTTGTCAAAAGAAAAATTGATGAGTTTTGTATAGCTGACCAGGTATAAGTAATGCTGATTTTCACGGTTTAGCAATTATAATGGGTGCTTGCTAAAATACTTGTTACAAAATTTGTTGATTCAAAGTAATTAAAATATGTAGAAGCCAGTTTCTGGTGAATTATCCATTTATTTTATACTGTTATCAGGCAGCTCCACAGTTGATAATTTAACCAATAAATCAGTTTGCTCTTCATTAACTGAGAAACTATATTCTAGGAATTCTGTATAGAACTGGGGAATTAAAAAAAATATGCAAAATAATTGTTTTTGTCTCAATAGAGTTCACAGTCTATTTACGATGCACGTTTTTCCTTAATGATATATTTGGTCTGACTCTTTCCTCCAAAGAATCATGAGATTATAGATGCGTTTGACATTGCATGATGGATAAATGAGAAGTTGTTGGTGAAGGAAATGTTATGGTGTTTCACACTAAAAAATGTATTTACAGTATAATTTCATAGTGATTATTCTAAGAAAAGTGTGGTCCAAATTCACACTAAAATCATCAACTTGAGAAAAAATTCTATTTCTTTTTATAGGTGATTCTTTTTTGGGGTTGGTGTGCAATTAGAAATTACTCTAGTAATTTGTCAAATGTATAATCAGTCTTTTTTTGGGGGGTGGGGTGGGGTGGAGTCTCACTGTGTTGCCCAGGCTGATCGCCAACTCCAATTTTTGCACCTGAGTGCTGGGACTATAGTTGTATACCATTTCACCTCCATATTTTTTTAATTAAAAATATTTTCCCATGGTTGAAGATACAAAAGTGATTTCATATGAAGGACCTCTCTAACTCCTGTCCTCTTGCTCCCAGCCCCTCCCCTTCTGACACTCATCGTTACTTCCTTTGTGCCTTTGAGAAAGAGTCTCTGCCTAAACACTCACTTGCATGAATTTTTTTCTTTTTTCTACACAAATGGTAACAAACTATACATAGCCTCCCTTTGGAAACCCTCCCTCTTCTTAATGGAAGTCATTCCATATTAGTTTCTAAGGAATAAGAAACCTTATTCCTTTTTTGGCTTCATAATATTCTATTAAATGGATATACCATAATTTAATCTGCTACTGATAAATGTTTAGGTTATTCTTTTGCTATTATGGTGATAGCATTGAAACTAATGTTACACATATCTATGTAGGGTATAGCTACAAGATAAAAAGTCCTAAAAAGTATAATTTGTACCAATATAGTGTTTTGTTTCAGAGCTTGTTGGGCAGTTTAACCAATAATGTCTTCCTGAAGACATTTTAGTGGAATCAACAAACTGGAACAAGTATTTATAGTCACCTTTTTCCTGACAGTGATGACACTGATCCTGTATGAGATTCTAAATTAAGTGATCCCACTTCTCTCTGAAAACATGGATCTCATACATGGAGATAAGTTTTTTCCTTGAAAGGGTCATTCTCATGTGTGAGACAGATCAGGATCAAATTATGGTTTGGTTTCTCCCTAGCAGTGGGAAGTGGGCAGATGGTTTATTCTTTTTGAAACTGTTGCATTATTTGTAAGATGTGGATGTAATACCTACCTCAAAGGGTTTTCATGAGAAAAATTGAGATTATGTATGTATGTGTTATACAATGCTTTGCAAATTGTCCAATAAATAGTAGACATTAGTTGAAACATATTGCTTTTGATCAGAATACTTTTGCATTTCTTCAGTCACTTTTGGAACCAGTTCATGAACCATGCAAAAAATAGTAAGAATCAGATGTTCTGAAGTTAGTCTCTTAGATATTGATGAAAATTTACAGTATCTAGCTTGATCATACACCTGACATATTGATCTTGAATGGCTGAATTGTCAGCAGAATGAACTACAGCCTCAAAGGCTTTACCACCCTTGAGGATTCAAAATACTAGAGGCTTACTTAGAAAGCTGTTTCCACAGACGGAATCCATGTTGGCAGCCATGACAGCACTGACTGTGTAGGGTTTCCCAGTGGTTGCTGTGGGAGGTGGCGGTCCCTTAGATAATAGGGGATTGGGTCTTTTTATATCATACCTTGTAATCAAAGCTCATAGAGACTCAGGGCTTCCCTCAGGAGTGTCACTTAACCTTGCTGAGAGAATCATTTCTCCCAACGGGAGCCATCCAACAAGTTGGTTCTTTAACATGGTTCACAATGAATAGTCTGACTTTACATTTGCCATTCAGATCTTCTCTCCTAGTTTTATGTTCTTGCAACAGTGACAGAGGAGCTCAGAGTTCTCAATCAAGATGTTCTTCACTGAGGTACACGTTGAAGGAACCCAGAACCATCTAGATTTTAGGGTGTCTTTGAAAATTCATAACGTGGGTAGAGTTGTGATTGAGATCATGGCTCTGAAAGTTACTCTGTGGCCACGTGTTTTGCAGGAACTCTTGCTGCACAGATCAGTGAGATGATAGGAAAGAATCACCACCAAGACATGCCTCTTTTTTTTTCCTTTAAAAAAAAGTTGCAACCAGGCTTGGTGGCTCATGCCTTTAATCTAGCTACTTCAGAGGCAGAGGATTGCAGTTGGCCTAGGCATATGGTTAGCAAGATCCCATCTCAACCAATAAAAAACTGGATGTGGTGGTGTATGCTTGTCATATCAACTACATGTGAAGCGTAAATAGGGTAGCAGTCCAGGCAGGATCGGGCATAAAGTAAGGCCCTATTTCAAAAATAAGCAACACAATGCCAGGCGCCAGTGGCTCACGCCTGTAATACTACTTGGAAAGCTGAGATGGGGAGGATCACTGAGGCCAGCCCAGACAAATAGTTTGCAAGATCTCATCTCCAAAACAACCAGAGCAAAAACAAACTACAGGTGTGGCTCAGGTGGTAGAGTGCCTGTTTTGCAAGTTCAAATCCCTGAGTTCAAGCCTCAGTCCCTAAAACAAAAAACAACATCTAAAGGATTGGGGTCTCAAATGGCAGAGCACCTGCCTAGAAAGTGTGAGGTCCTGAATTCAAATCACAGTACTGCAGAAAACTCTTGTTGATGTGATTTAAGGAAACTGCCACATTGATTATAAAGGGAGGGTTACTCAAAACCACTACAGATGACTCTGATGTGTGAACTGGAAAATAGGATTGATGTTGGGACCTTAATAAATAAATTAAACTTGGAAGACCCTCTTAAACTCTAACCTTCACAAAACAAAATCAGAAACAGAAAAAAAAAAAAAAACTAGCCTTATTTAAAATCACCAAAAGAGGCAGTATTTTATGAGTTGAAGTACTAAGTGACATCTTTTTAGATTTTTGGTGTTTAGGGAATTAGGCAGATATCTGCTTCTGATTTAAAGGAGCAATTTGATTTCTTCCTATTCAAATGACTGCAGGAAAAAGTAAGATGGGATTTTCCTGGTCTACATTTTGGCTCATAGAGCACACATTAACACATGTAATGTTCACATTTCCACTAAGCAGTGCACTCCCTGGATACTGTGCTGGTGTTTGTTTTTCCGTTGATGTCCCCCACATCTTAAATGCCTTTTCTGAGTTATTCCTACTGAAGAAACACTATACTATACTGGAGCAAATGAGGCCCTTCTTAAACTTCCATTCTTGGGTTTGCATGTAGTATTTCCATTCCTTATGCAGATGAATGAGTTCTTTTTCCTCTGCTGGCTATTCAGGCCTTGCCTTGTGGAAAGGAACAGGGTGGTGAAGGGAAAATATTTTGAGACCTTGACTGGTTGAATGCATCAGCTGTTGGAGCTTTGGCAGAGCCTGCTGTCGGGGGTTGGCACTGCCTCCCTTATAGGAGTGACTTAGGGTCCCAAACAGCTCAGTGCTGGCTAATAATTCTAAGTCTGCTTAGCTCTAAGTCTGGTTTTCTTTTTACTTGTGTTCCCAGAAACTTTCAGTCTGTGCCTTCGTCTTATCATCTGACCTAGAGGTTAGGATGAGTTCTGTAATGGTTCAGAAATGTGATGATTTGTTACCTCTGACAATAGAAGTAACACCCTAACCCGAACATTTTAGAGCTCTAGCATACCTAATACTGGCATTTCATTTAGACTCATGAAGTCTTCACTATTAATTATTATAATTGGCCAAACATTGGCTAAACGAATTGGCAGAGCAGAAGCAGTCATTCCTGGTTAAACCTGGTCAATCACATTCTATGGTCGCAGCTTGCAAGCACTGACTAGAACAGAAGGAACCTTACAACTCAGACTTAATAAACTGAAGGAGTGATTTTACAGATATTATCATGGGAAAGCTGTATATGTCATCAATAGTAACTTTAAATCCATCAAAACAGTACAATAACTATAGGGTACTCCTCTTCCCCTAAGAAAAAAACATCAGAAATATGGGGCTGGAGGTGCAGGTCAAGTAGCAGAGCGCCTGCCTTGCAAGTGCAAGGCCCTGAGTTCAAACTGCAGTATCCATCCACCCTTCCAAAAAAGAAAAAATATGTAATGGCAGAAAACTAGACGGATGAGAGATAGCCACTCGCATAGCAGAGAAAGTGGCATGGTCCTCAGGAGGAAGAAGGAGGCCTTGCTTTCTCATCAGGAACATTTATTGAGCACTCACAGTTTACTACACTGTAAGGCATTGAAGAGGCTCAGACATCTCCCTTCCCTCAAGGGGCTCACGTGGAATGACTGATGTGTGGACTTTTGGGTCACTACTTAGTGCTTTGTCTTCTGAGGAACAAACTACGCATTAAATTGAAAAGCAAGCCAGTGTAATACCAATAATACTGCTTTGGTCCTCATTGTCGTTTTCATCTTAATAAAACAGGTACGAAAATTTTCCCTCCCTCCACACTTAGCCAAGGCAGTTATTTCTGGTTCATGACAGGTAGAGAGAGATGCTAATCTCAAGGTGAGTTCTTTTCTTTACTTCCTTTAACAAAGAGAATAAAGCCATCCTCTTTCTAAAGGGAACAATTATTTCTTTACAGTAATGTGGTGTCAGGGTTAAGGGGTGCCATTGAAGAGATTTTTATGATGGAATCAGAGTAGTGAAAGCCACAAAGAAGATTTACCAAGAACTTTCTTTCTCTTTTCTTTTATCTTCTCTTCTCGTCTCTTCTCTTCTCTTCTTCTCTCTCTCTCTCTCTCTCTCTCTTTCTTTCCTCTTTCTTCTTTTTTAGAGACAACAGAACAGAAACACACAAAATGGCTCAAATTCTGGGTAAGGTTTTCCCCTACTAGAATGGTTTGGTTATCTCCTTCAATCCCCAGGAAGGTATTACAAATAACATAAAACCTAGTGAGTCCAGTCAGTTTATGAGACTTTGCCTCTGAGGGGCAACTAAAACAAGCTTCCTTCTTTTCCTGTCTTAAGAAAGAGGCAATTGGAAGGACAACACAGGACAATTTTAGATTTTCTTGAGCTGTGTTGCTAAGAAAAGCAGGCAGGCGGGGAAGACGCTAACTGCCAAGCAACATGTCTGGTATTTGGAGGACTCCTGCACTTCACAGAGGTGGCTGGTGGTGGAATCTTCTGGCAGGGATGCCTTCAGTATGAGTCCAGGGTGTATGCTTTTCCTGGTGGTTTTCTTTGCCTGTGACTCAACTCCTGCCGAGGGCGGCTCCTCTGGTCAGGCCTGCTTGTCCACTTGTTAGGCCTGATCAGTGATGTTGCTGACCTTAGCCCAGGCTGGGAAAGTGTCTAGGTGGAAGAGGCTAACTCCCCAGGTGTTGATGGCCACCATCACTATCACCAAGCCAATGACATTGACTCCCAGGCCAGCTTTCACCTGTAGGACACAAGCCAAAAAATCCAAGTCATCCTGGCCAGGTAGCAGCACAGGTCCCCCCAAGTGAACCCTTTCTAGGCCCCAGCCTAAGCCTTGCTCTGCCTGCATGACCAAGATTCATTCAGTCACTGGGTGTATTGCTCTAATGGTGCTTTGTGGGTGACACAGGACTGTGGTAGGACCAGAAGGACAGGAACAAGGAGAGGGGATTAGAATCATCTCTATTTCTTGCCTACAACACTCTCACTATAAAATGGAAGTCTAGAAGATCTGTTAGTTACCTGGGATGCTACATCTGTGGAATGTTAAGAGTTACTTGTGCAGTGAAATGATAGGGAAATGTGCTAAACAAAATCAAACATATCTAAAGCAGGAGCATCTCAGCCTCTTACATGTTCATACACATGAGGAACTTTCAGGAAGGGCAATATTATATAAAGCCATTGCCCTTGTTACCTTTTTCTCTCCCTGCCTCCCCACCCCCAAGAAATAGCTTAGGGAAGTAGAATACCTGGGATCACCTAGGGAAGTTCATCTCTTCCATGGGAGGGTGACACACACCTGGCTACCTACGGTGGGGACTTCGCTTCTTCCTTCAAAGGGAAGTGAACCTCCGTGACTTGGACTCATTTTATTTCTGGCAGGGCATTGACACAGGCTGAACAGAGATATGAAGAATGAGGGCTTGGCCAAGCCAGGACCAGATGGAAAAATGTGTACAGTAAGGACAGCTGGCATCCTTCCAGATACTCCCCAAACAGGTCCACTAGCTGGCATTGCGCTGGGAAAATTACAAGGGAAAAATGGATGCTGGGAAATTGTTCCGAGCAAATGACTAGATGTGTCCTCTCTTCTCTGTCTTTGGCTGGAGCCCCGGACTTCTCAATCATCCTGGGCCTCTCGGCGTGGACATGGCCTGTGCTCCCCAGCAGGTGTGTGTAGGGGGGCAGATTCTCAGGAATTTAATCAAGGTCCTTTAGAGTTGAAAGGTGCCACAAAGAGTATGATGCAACCACTTCCTCATTTAGCAAATGAGGAAATTGAAGCTTCAAGTTAATGTCCAAGCTGGGAATAGAGCCCAGAACTGGCTCACTTCTTACAATTCAGTGCCATTGACTATCTCTGATCATTAGATTCCAGTGTAAAAGGGTAGGGTTGAGGGGTGAGGACACACAGCTCGGGAAGTAGGAGGCAGGAGAACTGGGGCAGAGCTCAGTGAGCGCTCACTGAGGGCTCTGTAGTAAGAAAGGACCAGGAGAGAGGTATGGCCATGACCTCCCATCCCTGAAGTAGCAAGGATGGCTTATATGAACAGTTTGAACAGGGGAAAGGACTTGAATATCTGCTGCCAGCCTGAAACAATTTGTTTCTTTCCTCCATTTGATATTTTACAGGGTTTCCGAGAAAAAAAAAATCATCTCAGCAAGGGTGACTGAATGCAATTTCAGGCAGTCAGGCCTCAGTAATTTATCCTGTTTGTTTATGCTTGCCCATTTCCTCCCACCCCCCGGCCCATCAGCCCTGGGTACAAACAGCACAGCAGGGAGTATAGGCTAAGAGTGGAGGGTAGATACATCCAGCACTAAAGTCAGTTACAAATGTCTCCTTAAAGCTATCTTTTTATGAGCCCAGCTGAAAACCAAAAAGTAAACTGTAGATGTTGCTGTTGTAGCCCCAGGGATTTCTTCTTGGGGGAGAATTGAACAGAAGGAGCCTATTCTCACAAAATACCTTTCATCCCACCTGAGTTCATACAATTGCTCATACTTCATTGCCAATAAATAAATAAACCAGCAGTTTGTTGAGTGAGTATCTCCACTCGTCTAGGAAAGAAACAGAGGCAGATTTGTGTAAGCTCATGCCTTCTGGAACTGGGCCACAGCCTGTGCCCATTCCAGCTTTCTCTACCCATGTTCCAGAAAAGGGTTTGGAAGTCACATTATTGGAGCTTATGGACCAACCAAGAATCTTTTTTACGTAGGCCACCCTTTCTATCACACTAGATAGAGGGCTGGCAGACCTGAGGTCATGCCATGAAACTAGAAACTCAAGGAGAAGGCTGTGCAGCCAGCCATCCCTACCCTCATGGAGCAGAGCCTGGCAGAAGAGGGCCACCTGCGACTCACCATATCTTTGATCTGGCAGTGCCCATAGCTGAAGACGATGGCATTAGGGGGATTGCCCACAGGCAGCATCACTGCAAAGGAGATGCACATGGTGACTGGGATCAGGGTGTAGAGTGGGTTAATGTGCAGCGTTTCAGACTAGGAGAAGAGAGAATTCACAAAAACATTAACTTTGAGATTGGGCTGGCATATCCTGTGCATGAATGTGCATTAAATATGGTGTGGCCTTGGCTAACTGTAACAGCATTAGCTCCGTCCTTGCTCTCCAGAGCGTGCAGTGCCCATGGCAACCCAAGTGGCTGACATTTAGAGGCACTTCCTAGAGTGGATGTTTGTTTGGTTTTTTCTCGGGGGGGCAGGCTAGTCTAAGGAAGGGGTTCCTAAAAGTTTATTCTATAGCCGAGAAATCCTTTCTTCAAACAAAAATTATGAATAAGCTGTTTGGATTGAAGCAGAAAATTCCTCACCCTCAGGGTACAGAATTGCAGGTCTTCCTCTAGGGAAAATAATTGTATCATTTGGAATTTGAACCCATATTCTTGCTCTCAATGTTGCTGTGTTTTAATTAAGTGCTCACACACTCCCATGCTCACACATGCAAGCTGACAGAAGGCCTTTGGAGACATCTGAGCAATGGGCAGAGAGTGACCAGGAGCTAGAGGTTAAGGAAGAGCAGGAGAAAGTTCTCTTTCTGGGTGTGGGAAGGAGCTTTCACTTCCTAGGTTCCATCTCTCAGAGGGGACAGATGCAGCATTGGGTCAGGGAATTACTTCTGGAGCTGTTTCACCAGGTTAAGATCTGGCAGTTACTCCCCTCCCTATTCCAATGTTAACAAATTGGACTGAGGCCTTGGAGTGAGGCTACACTTGCTCCCAGTTCTCAGGACCTCCCTGAGGACAGTGGTATTGGGTATAGGTGGTGGTCCTTAGAGTTGTGGCTGTGGTTTTTTTCAGCGATGTGTTTTGCCACCATTTTCCATGGTTACCTCTTTGGCACCACTGCTAGGTTTTATCTCAGGAGAGAAAGAGTGATGGTGATTGTGGGGAAATGGAATTCTAGGGTTTTAAGATTATTTTACCCATTCTTTTGTTTCTACGTGGGTCAGCCACTAAACTAATCCTACTTTTTTGGAAAAGTGTTTTGAGACGCTTGCTATGATTTATTAATGTATCGTTTTTATTTATTAATTGCTTTGAAAACTTCAGTGAAGTTGTGACAGGGGCAAAGGAGAGCATCCAGCCGGGGAAGCTGCTGCTAGAGGCCCCTGGGCACACCCCTCTAGACATCTAGGAGCCCTGCTGTACTTACCAGGCTGCACAGGATGGGCAGGAAGATGGTGATGGTGGCTGGGTTGCTGACAAATTCTGTGATAATGGACACTAGGATGCATGCCAGCAGAGTGACAGCCCATGGTGGGAGGCTGCTCAGAGACAACATCTGGTGCCCAATCCATGTGGAGAGGCCAGAGCTCTGCAGGAGGAGGTGTCACAGTACAAGGAAACTTAGACTTCTGAGAATCAGGACTATTGACTATGAGGGACCACTGGGGGTCATCCAACCTGTCTATCTTCAGCCTGACTGGAGCAAGTCCTGATTTTACGATTAGATTTGATGATTTTATGGTCAGATCTTTTTTGTAGCCTAGAAATTTCTTTTCTTATGGTTGAACATATTCTGTCTTTGGGTTTCCTGGTCAGTCAGCTGTTTACTCCTCAACTTTAGCCTTCAATGTCAGTCTCACCTTTTCTCTAGCCTCTGGTGCCCTCACTGTGTGATGTGACAGTGCCTGACATGGGGTGCCAGGTGAAATGCTTCTGCTTTTGTACTACATTTTTTTTTTCATTTTATTACAGAAGAAAGGGGAAAAAACCTGCTGTCCTTTTTGGATAGTAACTTTTGTGTTTTTATTTTGGTTGAGGGGAGGAGTGAATGGGCAGAGTTGAATACTAGAAATTTCTCATGAGTAATGAAAAGGAAAGGGATTAAAAGTCTTTCTCCACTTAGTGGGGAAGGAGTCTCGTTACTGGCCCATAGTATAGTCTTTCAGCCCTGTTTTAGGTTCAAATCTCATCATGGCTGACATCTACTATCTGTCATTGCTTTTGGAAGACACCAGATATGAAGAAATATTGGCCAGGCACTCTTTCCCATTAACATTTATACACAGCCACTCAAATAAATGACAGTTCCCGCTTGGGATAATTCATTGGATTGGAAGATGTTTACCCGCCAATGGTGAGAGCTACCCCTCCTCTCCTAAAAGGTGACGGACACTCTTGAGGTTTTGTATTATAAAACCCCAGGTTGCCATATGCATTTGACTGCTCTCTCTACTTCCTCCAATCTCCTGTATGGTTGATGTGCTCACGCTCTTTCTGTGGTACCCTGGAGGCTGCAAAGGCAGTAAAGAAATGGAGAGCAGGGGCAGAAAACAAAGTAGACAGCTGCAGTAGCCATGGGGAAGAGAAGCCCTTAAAGAGGAAGGTCAGAGAGGTTTTCTTCGAGGAGATGACTGTGATTCCAGTAAGAGTATAACATCTAGTGATTCCTCAAGTGTTGAAATGAACTGGAAGTGATGAGAAGGGGAGAGTTACCTGTGCTGGATATTAAGGATTCACAAGTACATGAAGGACCTTGCCTCTGCTGTGGATCAGAAAGATCAAAGACAAAGATTTGAATGGGCTCAGCACTGCCAAGGAGAAAAGCCAGACCTCTTCAGGCTCAAACTTATTCTGGGCTTCTGGGGAAGTCCCACAGCCTTGCCTGAGCTCCCACCCCTACACTGATTCCATCCTGCACAACTGCACGACTGTGTTGCTCATGGCTCCAACACACCTGGGGTGGCCGTACAGATGCCCTTAACCAAACTCAGAGTGGACATTACTTTTTTTAAAAAAATAGGCAGGAGGGGCTCCCTTGTGATTCAATAACTGGCTCCAGGTCCTGGGGTCTGGGGTGCTGAAAGTCTCCTTCATTCCCCAGATGGGCACCAGGTCTCTTCCATAAAGCAGGCCATTTTGGGTTCAATGGGCCAGGGCTGGTCTTTGTCTTTTGCTCCATCTAGCTCAAACACAACTGTGAGGTAGGGCCAGTGGGCCAGATTGCTTGTTGTTGGGAAGCAAGATGAGAGGTCTGGTTGGTGACCCATCACTTGCCAAGGAATGAACCTGGGGAGGAACGAGAGTAGGCAATGGTGGTCCTGCCCTTGTAGGTCATGATCCAGTGGAGGAGGGATGCTGTTAGAAATATTATCAGAAATGGTTGTGTTACCATAAGTAGCAGGAGAATGGATGAACTTACTTAATTGTGATACCTATCATGTATGCAAAAATTTTGTACATGTGCAATTTAATGAATAATAAATACTATTTACCCTTTAGGAAAAAGATTCTTCAAGCTAAAAGTCCTGCTACTCATGTCTTACTATTTACAAGCACCTTCAACAGACTGTCAGCAGGCCACCTTTTCTCCTCTTCCCCAACTCCATCAAAAGCTCACTTGATCTCTACAGTACCCTCACCACCTCAAGGCAAGCTCACAGACAACGATGACCAAAGGTCTTCAGAATTCTCTCTGCTGTAGCCATGGCACCTTGGAGGACTTTTCTTCCTTTTTTCTTTCAACTGACAGAGAGTTCCAAACCCCAGGATGTGGAGACTGCATTGGTTGATGGTTAATATCGTGCCAAACAGCCTATGAGAACTCTGTAATTGTACCTTCTTATAACACAGTAAACCTTTTCACTGGACAAAGGCAGGGAGGAAGAGCAGTTTGTTGAGTGGAAGCAGTGCATTTTATGAAAAAAATGGAACTTTAAGTATTATGTTATGTAAATGTTACTTAAATATTACTTGTAAATAAAGTGAAATAATTCAATGGCAACTGTTTTTCCAGCAGAACTTTTATACTATAATTTGAAATAAGTTGATAAATTAGACTGCCAAGCTAGAAAAAAACACAACAAAGGAAATCTTAATTTTTTTAAACACTCTGTATGAAAAATTTCACATTGAATTTTCCTCACTTATGTCAAGACTCTAAAATTATTTCAAGCTTTGTAGGAATCACACAGATTGTGCCTGAATTGTTCTAGTATTAAAAATAGTAGAGTCAATAGAGCTTACAGGGATATAACTGTACTATCTGTAATACATACATAATTTTGATTAAAAAAAGAAAAAGGTCTTGCTGGCCAGACTCAAGCTCAAACTAACAACTGAAATTCAATAAAGATAAGTACAATATCCTGTGTTTGAATTAGAAATATTGAAGGAATTGAGGTTTAATAGTGGCTACCAATGAAAAGAATGAAGGGTTGTAGCTGAGTGCAATTTCAATATAAATGTTGACATGGGTGTGGAGGAAGCCTTATAAAAGCTCCAATAAAACTGCAGGTTAGTGCTTACATCAGGATGAGAGCTGGGCTTGGGTAATAGAACTAGGATAGTTTGCAGTAGACTTGACCATGTCTGGAGCACGTTTGAATAAGGCCAAGGGAAACTGCAGTGAGTTCTGAGGGGAAAGACCAGGATGATCATCCTCCATGAGAATAGTTACAGAAGGTAGGGAGTTTTAATTGGAAAGAAAATCTAACACCTGATTTATTACTTTAATAATTATTATCTAGGAAAGAGTTCCAAAGAACAGAGAACAGAGCCAGAACCAACAGTGTCCACACACAGAGAGTAAAGAACTTGGCTTGGCTAAAAGTGAGGAACAACTATTCTTTGCTAGTACCCTGTCAGTGGAGGTGTCCAAGCCAGGGGTGTCCTGGAGGAAAATGTCTCATTGGGTAGGAGATGGGGCTCCGTGTCCTTTGAGGTTCCTTTCCAGGGTAGGACTCTGTGACTTGGTTGTCAATGATGTGAACAGCATTTAGGCCCGTAAGAAATAGGCAATCAAAAATGAACCAAATTTAGGGCTTGTGGAAAGTCTCAATCAGTAAGAGTGCCTGCCTTGCAAGCATGAGACCCTGAGTTCAAACTTCAGTGCTGCCAAAAATAAAAATAAAAAAGTGAACCAAGTTTAGAATGGGTTAGTGTATGTAGACAAAGTGGAGGGAGAAACAGTTTGAACCTTCATAGGATGCATTTGTAGGATTGTTTCCTATTTCGGAGAGGGCTGATGCTTTAGGAATTTCAATTATTTCTACCAAACCCACTAAAAAGATCTCACTCTGAATGCTCCCAACCAGGAATCAAACAGCTTTTACATCAGCTTACGCTTATTATAAGCAGCATGGACACCTGTTCATGTTGGTATGTTCTGGCTCCATTATGTCCTTCTCCCTTTTGTGTGTGAGTGTGTGTGTGGGGGGCACTGGGGTTTGAACTCAGAGCCTCACACTTGCTAGGCAGGCACTCTACCACTTGAGCCATTCAGCCAGCATTTACATCAGCTTGAGCAAAGATTCTCTGAAGAGGCAGTCTATGCATCTGGCTGACAGAGGGCAATCCATTGTGTTATCACTTGGGGCATCTCTGAGCCCTTATGACCCATCACCTATCACTGCTGTCAGATTCCAGATGGAGATGGCTACAGAACTCAAACTGTTGCAGTGTGGGACCTGTAAGGAAGGTGTGAATGCCTGTGCTCTATGACCCCTGGCACAGCTGATTCATAAGTCTCTGTTTCAGTGACACTAACTGAGAAGGTCAGAGAGGAACAGTACATCTACCTTGCTTTATTGCTGCCTTTCTTATTGACCTGGTGACATTTTGCTTCTCCCTCAGCTCCTTTGAGTCTTCCCTTCCTAGACTGTAATGAGTCCTTAAGTACAGCTTCAGGACCAACATTTGACCCATAAAAACAGAATTGAAGGGTTACCTTGCTTCCAGAAGCCAGGGCATAGCCTCCTCCCACCAGGATGACAATTTCCCAGGGCATGGTTTTCTGAAAGTCCTTCCATGTGATGATGGGCTCTGTCCCCATGGAGGACTCCCGGTCCACCCCTGAATCATAGGTAGAAAGAGAGATGGAGAGACAGAAAAAAATCATGATGAGCATGATTTACAGAAATAAGGGCCTAATGGGTGAATTGAAGGATTTGGGAAGTGGGGGGAGTCTGAAGGGTCTTGGTAAGCCTCCTTTGAAAAATTCTGACTTGGGTGTTCTTTGTCTAGAGCCACCCCCAACTTCATCCCTTGAACCTTCTCTCACCATCACTCTTTTTCCCAAAGCAGGGCTTCTTGGCTGGGATTAGGAAAAGGAGGAAGCCGAGGAAGACAGAGACTGTGGCATCAGTGCGGTAGCCTTTCCTAGGAGAGGGACAAATATGGAAGATGAGGGTTAGGAATTCTCAGGAGCAACACAAGCCTCAGGACAGTTGTCTGAACACAATTCCTCTTTTGAGAACCTGATCTAGAAAAGACAGCAACCTGACTTCTTGCCAGTTGCAACCATGCTATTCCACAGTGGATTCGTGGGCAATGGTTAATATCTAGAGGAAGGACCTGGCTAGGGGAGATATCTTAGTGTGAACCAGTGGGCACAGTAGTCCTAGAAGGAGTGATCTGGAACTGTTTTAGATAAGAAAGAATAGGAAAGGATGAATCCTCTCTCCTGTGAGGGCCACACTCCATGCATATCTCTTCTTAAATGAGAAGTTGGTGCTTGGAGAGCTCTTGGCCTGTACCCAGTGGTTCTGGCCCTTAGGGGAATATGCAAGGGTGGCATGGGAGCCTATGTGGCCTCTCTTGGTGCCCTCCATCCTCCACAGACCTCAGCCTCTCCATGATCATAGCTTCTTTACAGTTGGCACTTTATTAGAGACACTTCCTCCTTTCACCCTCACAATACTCCAGGAGATACTTGATGTTCCAAGAGCTTATGTAAGAAGACTCAAGTCACACATCTAGTGTGTGATCTCAATTCCAGGCTGGGAGGCCAAACACTGTTTTCTTCCTGACTCCACACTGATGCTTCCCTAGAAATGGTGGATTTTTCAGGGAACCAAATGCTTTGTGTCTACCTCCAAGAGCTATGACAGGATACCTGTGGTTACTGCCTGAGGAATCTGGTAAGGGGGTAGTTCTTAAGGAGCAAACAACATCACTTGCTTTTCAAAGAAAGAATCCCAGCCAGGGACGAAGCCAGGTTCCCGGGTAAACCACAGCACAGTCATCAGGATGAAGAAAAATCCAGTCACCATTTCTGGGTAGCTAGAAAATACAAGAGAAAGACCCACTCCAGGACTGGGAAATTCCATAAAACATAGTCACTGCTTAACCACTAGAATGGCCAGCAGTGAGTTACAAAGAAGACTGACTGAGTGATGCTAAGAAGGAGGACATTAATCATGCTTCTAGAGAAATTGATATGGGAAGGAAAAGAACATAGCATTACACATGTATAAAATAATTTAATTAATAACCTATGCAGAGAATACAGTGCAGTGGGTACCCTCAGGTACTGTACCGTGAAGAGTAGGAACTACTGCAAATTTTTGAGACCATTTGATCAAATATATAAGGAGACTTAATTTGGTCATTTGTTTCATCTAAGACAGTAACTCAAAATGCACACTGAAATCTTACCTATTTCAGAATATGGAAGCAACCATTTTGTCATTTATCCAATGATATTCCATGTCATTGAATACATTTTAGTACAACTATATGGTAAAATGAGATGCATCTACTAACAATCGTGTTTCCACAGCAGAATTAGTGACATGGGAACATAGTGACAGTACAATGTTAAGTGGAAAAAAATGCAAGATATACAACTATAGTCAGAATGAATTTTACCAAACATATATATAATTTTGTGTGAAAAAACATGGAAAGAAATATATCATGCTAACATTTCATAGTTAACATTAGGATGCTAAGAACATAAGACAACTTAAATTTTTCTTACTAATTTCCTTATTTTATAAATGTTTTACAATGAACATTTATTCTTTCTGTAACTTAAAGTTTTAAAAATACATTTTTTACCTGAATTGCTTTACACCAATTTGTACATGCCAATTGATATGAGAGGAAAAATAGCATTAAACAGAATCTGGGTCATCGTGGAAATGCTAACAGAAAATAACTGATGGTAAGCTGAGCCTGACTGTTCACACCTGTAGTCCTAGCTACTTGGAAGGCAGAGATTGGGAGGATCATGATTTGAGGCTAAACCTGGTAAAAAGTTGTGAGACTCCATCTCAATCAACAGCTGGGCATGATGGTGTGTGCCTATCATCCTAGCTATGTGGGAAGCATAAATAGGAAACCTGTGGTCCATGCTGGCCCTGGCATAAATGTAAAACCCTATCCAAAATAACTAAAGTAAAAAGGACTGGGGGTGTGTAGCTCATGTGGTAGAGTGCCTGTCTAGCAAACGTGAGGCCATGAGTTCAAACTCCAGTATCACCAAAAAAAAAAAAAAATAGCTGAAGGTGGGTAATACCTTTTTGGACTTTCTGTATTTGATGCTGCTTTATGCTCTAAATATAGCACTAACCCCCATCTTCTAGAAGTGACCACTGGATTACTGTGGTGGCCCATTTGAGCAATGTGAGGAGTGCTGACTTTGGAGGGAATTCAGCATGTTTCAACAGGGTAGCTGTGCTCTTTCTGTTGGTCTTTCTCCAGCTGCCCCATCTAGACACTCTGTCCCCACAGCACAGCTATACCTTGGACTCTGAATATAGCCAAGGGGAAGGGCGGCCACCGAAATCTGGGCCAGATTGGCTTTGGCAATAAATAGAATCTTCTAAATGCTGGGATTAATAGAATTCATGAATTCTGCCAGTGTCAAGGACTGTCAGGAACAAGGTTGCTTCTGTGCTTCACTTTACCTGCTGTGTTTCCATGCTGGAAAAGAGGAAAGGGGAATGGCTGATTTCTTACCTAATGTCTCCCAGCTTTTCATATTCTGCTCGAATCCTCTTCTCTGACATCTCTTCCCTTTTGGTCTTCTTCTTCTTGCTCAGAGAACAGGTCTCTTTAAAGCTGAGCAGGGAGAGTGAGCAAAAAAGTAAAGAAAACATGCTTTTGAGGTTCAGAGGAGTCAAATAGTAAGCAATATTTAGTCATTTACTTGCTGTGATCACCTTTCTCCATTTTGTTCACACACTCCATTCCACTGCTACTCATACAGTTCTATCTGCCATGTTTATTCTTCCCACTAGCATTTTGGGCACATCCAGTAGGGCATGCTTCTGGTGTATGAATGTGAGGTCATGTCTAATGGGCTTGTGAATGGGTACTTAGGTGAGGTTGATTCTTTATACTTGTACATGAATAAGAGAGTCAGTGTGATGTGGTATATATGTCTACAGGTATGTATGTATGTGTGTGTGTGTGTTTATTTGTCTAGAGACAAGGCTTGTCCAAGGTAAAAGTAGGCATTAATTTATATTAGAATATTGGAATTTCAGAAGTTACAGCCATCACTGGTTTGACAACAGTCTGAGTAAAAAGAAAAGTCAGCTTAGAGAACATTCCTTGACCAATGCAGTGCTGGGTTCCAGGGACTAACAGAACATCATATATTTATTCTCTTATTGTGTTATCTGATCAAATTTAAAGTAGACTGATAGTTCTGAGGAAAAGACTTACTAGCAGACTAATATTTGAAATAATATTGCAAGGGACATATCTATTTTGTTGTTTTGAGGGACATGAGCATATTCCATACAAACTACTAAGTATAAAAGAAAACCTAAGGCAATTTCTACTTATAACCATATTCCTAAGAGTAGATGAATTACTCTACATGCTTTGAGAACAATGCAACCACACTAAAAACTCTTCAATTTAGGCCTTCTATAAACCAGACAGACCCTCTAATCAATTAGCCAGAATTAGGAACATTTCACTGTAGACTAAGAGTAAAGTGCAGAGTTCATAAAAGTTCAGAATGTTCAGAAGAGACAACATCTGGTTCCTAGTCTGGCCCACTGCACTCTCCTTGGGGCAGTTCTGTTGGTTCCTGGGCTGCCCCACTTGGAGCAGAGCCTTCTCCAGGCCATGACCTTTGGGTTGACAGAAGAGCTTCAGATCTTTGCCGGCAGGATCCTGGCACTCACTTGCAGCCCAGGAAAAGCCAGTGCATCCAGAACCAGCTGACCACCAGCATGATGAGGGAGATGGGGAAGCTGAAGAGGAACCAGGTGCCAAAGTTCACCACCTCTGCGGCTGGGTACTGGCTGGAAGACGAAGACCAGGTCAATAGTTAGAAAAGGAAAAATTTCCACACGGCATTTGGGGGGGTGGGGGGTGATAGCCAATGCTCCTTATGAACACACAAAGCAAGGCAAAGGGGACAGGTAAGGGTAACAATATGGTAAGACATTAGTTAAAACATATTTATTTAGTTAGTTGCAATTGTATACAGAGTCCAGGCAAGAATTATGAAGTAAGCTAAGATAGGCATTAAAGCCACCAAAATCAATATCATACTTTGTACTCAGGAAAATTACACAGGACCTATTTATCCTTAATTTACATGAAGGTCGTGATAAGTTTATTCATCTGGTTTTCAAGACCACAGAGAATGGAAGAGAGGTCTGGTATACTTTGTAAGAAAGTCACTGAAGGAATGTGAGTTTTGATGGGGGACACAAAGCAGCTAATTCTGGAAATTTGGGCTCTAGGGCCTCAGGAGGACTCCATTACTGACAGTGCCCATAACAGAACTAGTACTTGGACTCTCCAAACATACTCTCTCTCTCTCTCTCTCTCTCTCTCTCTCTCACACACACACACACACACACACACACACACACACACACACTCATACAGAGTTTGTAGGTTTTTGAAATGGTGAAAATGAACTATAGGATGGTCTGTTTACCAACACCAAGAAGAGCGACCTGGAGAGAACACTGTGATGAGTCTGTGAGGCTTACTTTAATCCTGAAGAATTAGGTCTTAAACTTTCCTTGGTCATGCCTTCCTACCCTCTCTTGCTCGCTCCTTCCATCCTTTCTCTCCACTTCCTTTTCCTTTTCCTCTCTTCCTACAACTTACTTTTTTCCTTCCTTCTTCTCCTTCCTGCTAGAAGGAAAGATGTGTTTTTCCTCTTGTTCCTGATGAGTTACTCTCTTCTCTGGATGCCATCCTTCTTCTCAGTGACATTCCTCTGTCAATGATCCACTCTCCCAAATCTTTAATTTTCTTCTCATTGGAATTATCCTTACCAGTGTTTAAATGTCATCCATCTTAAAATCTCTCCTTGCCTCTTCTTCTCCTTGTATAACCACCCCATACCTCTCCTGCCTTCACAGTAAACTCTCCATGTGCAACCCCCCACCCAGTGTTACTCCCCATCTGTCTGAAATCTGGCTCCATTTCCCATCACTTTACCAAATTTCTATTTCCCAGATCATAGTTTTCACCATGTCAAATGTCAACCAATATGATGGATACATTTTTATCCTTATTGTGGGCCATTATTCACTGGCATTAACTATTGTAGTCACTCCCTCTTTCTTTCTTTTTTAAATTTTATTTTACTTTTTAATTAGCATACACTGATATATGAAGGGGGCTTCATTGTGATAATTTCAAAGTACAGTGTACTTTGAACAAGATTACCCCTTCCCTTACATTCCCTGACTCCCCTCAACTCCCTTTCTTGAAGCACTTTCCTCCTTGGACAGCATGTCACTTTATCTTCCTGGATTTCCCCTCTCTTGTCTGATACTGTTTTCTGTTTTGAAGTCTACCTTAAATATTTGAGCTTAATCTTTATGTCCTCTGCCCTACTTCATCCTTCTATAATCCTAGCATTTAGTCCAGTTCTAGTCCACTCATCTGCCCAGTGGGTGGTTAGGAAATATTTCTTGAGTGAGTGAATCACTTACTTGTTGAAGTGTTCCAGGAAAATGAGGCTGGTGGATGTGCCAATGATAGTGGTCAGGCCGCCAATGGTAGCGGCGTAGGATATGCTCAGAGAGAGGCACTTGCAGATCATTTGGTCATGTTGGGACCTGTACTTTCTGTTCAGCTCTTGGTTCCGGGGACTGGGGGCCCGTGGCTTTTCCTATCAAAGGACAGTCAGTAAGTCTCTGAAGCTAGCACATAAAGCCTGAGTGACAAGAGGCACCATGGTTTTGAGCTTTGGCTTGAGAAAGACAAATCCCACATTCTACCGTTCACCAACTTTGGCATGACTCTGAGCTAGTTTCTTCTTTTCTAAAATGGAGAAAACCATATTTTCTCTACTTTATTGTTGTGAAGTATAAATGAAGTTAACATATGTAAAGCACTTAGATCAATTCCTGCCATTTAATGAATGGTAAGCTATTATGCTTTTTGTGTTATCAGTGTATTAATACTGATAACATGGTTTGTGGTTTCCTTTAACTCCATGAAAACTCTACTTTGTGTTTGAACCAACAGAAGATGCTTATTGTGTGTGGAATTAGAGTGCTGGGGAGGATTAAAAATAAGCCTTGGAGACTGGGGGTGTAGGCCTGTGGTAGAGGGCTTGCCTGACATGGGAAAGAAAGGCCCTGGGTTTGATACCCAACACCAGAGGGGAAAAAAGCCTGTGTATTGGTTACTCGTCAACTTGATTAGGTTGGCAGCCCCTAAGAGATTAGTAAAGAGCACCTCTGGGTGTGTCTGTGAGGGCTTTCCAGAGAGAATTAAATGAGGAGGGAAGGCCATGTGAATGTGATTGGGGGTCTGGATGGAACAAAAGGAAAAGCAGCAGCAAGGCCACCAGCACAGGCATGCTGGTTCTGTGCTTCCTGGCTGCTGTTGTGAGCTGCTTTGCTTCACCACACCCTCCCTGCCCTGATGGACTGAAACCTTTAAAACCCTGAGCTGAAATGAACAGTTCCTCCCTTTAAGTTGTTTTTCTCAGGTATTTGTCACAAGGATGGAAAACTAACACACCTTTACAGAAAAACCTGCATTCACGGAAGATGTTGACATGTGTTATTCTCTCCTCCCTCCTTGCCTCGCTCTCTTCTTGTTTTTGCTATTTGCCTTTCCTCTCTACTTTTTCCTCCCCTTTGCATATGAATATGAGCCCTGCTTGGTCCAGAAGATGGCCTCTCAGGGTCACAGAGGCTCCTGATCTCTGACCTTAAGTATGAACTAAAGAAGCAAGTGCCTCCTACTCCCTCTAGGCCTGGCTAACCTCACTGATTCTTGGAAAAGCGGGGTGTAAATGTAAGCAGGTTAGGGAACAAGAAGACCAGTGGGGAAGGGGCCAATGAGCCACGTGTCTCATAACCCTTTACCATTGTCTCATTGTCCGTGGAGGGCCAAAGTAAGGCTTGAACCCTTCAAAATCCCTTAGGAAGATCTACTGGTTATCAGAGCTGGAAGAGATGACTTAGATTCTCTTTCTCCAGTAAAATTTTACATTGAACTCCAATATTTAAAACATAATTATAGCATTTAATTGGCATACATTACTTTGTAACTGGAAATGTACCAGGGGCTTAACTGCACATGTTCAGGGAGACTGGATTTGAATAAAGTTGTTGCCCTCATTCAGCCTGGACTCATGATTCCATCTCTCTACCTACCTTGCAAAAATGGAGCTCAAAATGGCTACCTCACCAAGCCAAGACTAGGAAGAAAAGGCATAGCACAGTGCTTGGTACATAATAAACATTTCACAAATGGTGGCAGGTATTATCTTTATGGGTGTTAAACAATTGAGATTGTTGATGAACACAAAAATTTGAAATCTAGGATTGTAGGTGACAGCTGCCATTTTATACCAGTCTTAACATTCACTGGATTTCTGCACTTTTTTCCATGGTAGAGTGTCAGGAAATTTCTTATCTATGCAGAAAAGCAGTTGCTTTACAATCTGAGGATGATAAAAACATCTGCAGTGTTGCAAAAGCACCTTTGAGAGATCATTTGAGCACCTCTGATTTAGACTATAGACTTCTACAGATGTCCAGTGAGCTTGTTGCTTTATTGTCATGCACACACAAACCAGATGTGGGTGTGAAGTGCCTAGTGACATCTCTCTAGTATAAGGAAGTCCTTATCTGGTGCACTGAGGAGGCACCAGGTGTTATATGTAGTTGGGATTCTGTTACCTGGGATAGGTGCTGCTTCTTGCCCTGGTGTTGGTTTGCTGCTTTGATAGGATTGGTGGTAGTGGGCACACCATTCAGATTCTGTTGGGACAAAGGCCATTACACTGTTAGGAAGAGGATGGTGGAGAAGCACCTAACTATCCCAGGGCCACCCCACACCTTGGCACTGTGGGACTCAGAGACCAGCAGCCAGGGAGGGAGCACACTGAAAGCACCCCAATGGGCCAGCCTCCATCTTCACACCCAATAGTCCAGCCAGCATCAAGCACCCATCTGAAGAAGCTTTTGAAAGTTGGTGAACATGCCTTTGTCCTTTTATGAGATCCTGACTTGCTAGAATTTCATTAGCTGACAAACTCTTTATTTTTTTGACTCAAACTAAAAATTCCACCACAACAAAGTCCACAGTTTTTTGTTTGTTGTCAAGGCTGAGTTCAAACCTCAGTCCCACTCTGCCACTTGAGCTAGGTCCCCAAGTACTTTTGTGCTTTACTTATTTTTCAGATAGGGGTTTGCCTTTGCCTGACCTCAGACTCTGATCTTCCTACTTATGCCTCCCACGTAGCTGGAATTAGCATGTACTATCACACCTGGGTTGTTTTTTGAGATGAGGTCTTGATAACCTTTTTTGTTGTTGTTGTTGCTCAGACTGGCCTCAAACTACAATCCTTCTGATCTTTGCCTCCTGAGTAGCTGGGATTGCAGATGTGTGCCACCACTTCCAGCTCTAGTCCACAGTTCTATAGGCTTTTTATGCTTCTCACAAGGAGACATAAAACTAGTTTTGAGAAAAGGGGGAGGTAAACTTGGCTTTCCCCTATAAATGTGTCCCTTTAATACTAAGATTTTGTAAGTGGAATCCCACTGAAAGAAATCCTGAGCTTGAATCTGTGGCTCTTGAAATCTGGATGACTGAATCTTGGGTTTCCAAGAAAAGAGATTAACCTGCATTTTACATGCCAAGTCCAGGACTCAGGGCTGGGTTCTGAAATACTCAGACTCCCTGACAGGAGCCACACCAGCCCTTCTTATGTCCAACCCTAGTGAGTGCCCCTCCACCCTTATATCCATGGAGGTATAAACTCTTGGTCCATGACTTATCTGGAAGGACTTTCAAGTGATCTCAAAGCACAGAAAAACCCAAGGCCATACCTTGTTCTGCATCAGGGAAGTGAAGTCTGCAGTTGATGTGCTGGAATGAAGCAAAGGAAACATGGAAACCAGAGTGGACCACATTTGGTGAGAGGGGAGTTCTCGTCCCCATATTGAGTGCTTAGTGTAAGGGACTTAAGTCATCTCACCCTAGTCTTCCAGCCCTCTGAGATGCTATAGGAGCCAGGGCTGGAGCAGGGGCAACACGCTTCCTTTGAAGCAATGCTAACACTTTGAATAATACTGAATACAGAGTGCTTATTAGGTGCCAAGCATCTTAATATAGACTTTATTCATTATGACACTGTTAATTCTAAGAACAGATCCATGGCATCAGCATCACTACCTCCATTTGTATCATTACTTAACACCAGGATGTTAGTGGTGGATACACAGGACCTTCTCTCTGTCCCACTGGAAAGCCTATGCCCTGTCCACATCCTTACTGGCTGACTCGGGGAAGGCCACTGTCTAGAAAGAGAAGCTTGTGATTCACTTATATGAGGCAACAGGAGCACAGTGGGAAAGGCAAGTGAGAGCACAAAGATGGGGAGAACTTCTGGTCAACAACTGCATGTTAAGAGCACAGTTAACTACACATATGGAGTCCCTCCCATACCTGTGGGTGCCCAGCCTTTGCCTTGAAGACAGAATTACTGACACACTGAGGGCTCAACGGATGTTTCTAGTTTGTCTTAGTTGTAAGGATGGTGGGGGCCACCAGTTTACCCATTGCAATGACAGATGAGTGTGGAGCACACACACACAGGATGAAGTGATCTGCACCATCACCCATCTACAGGCTCCACCAGGGTAGAATAGGAGGTGATGGAGGTGTGGCATGAAATGTTCTTTGGACAATGTGCTGTTATGTTCCTCTCCCTTCTTCCCGGACAGCTAAAAAGAACAGGTAAGATCTCCTCAGACTGCAGGGAAGACCCTGGATATGAGAGGAGATGCCACACAGCCCTACTCCCACCAGCACAGAAGATGCTGAGAGAGATCTAGGGATAGCTGGAGCGCTTTGGACTTTGGGAGCATATGCTGTCATGTGGAAAGACCAAAGGCAAGAAACCACTGCAGTGTGGTCAGAGAAGCCAGAGTAGGGAGAAAGACCCACGGCAATGGGAGCAGCCTGCCTTTTCAGTGTTCAGCAGTGCTGTTGTGGTGAGGAAGGAAGCTGGGCTGGAGTCACCTGGAAAGGCACTACCAAGAAAGCTGTGGGAAAGTGGGGTCAGAACACAGACCAAGTTAGGGGACCAGTGATCATACAAAAGCGCAACCCACAATTGGGCTTGGGTTATGCAGAGGCCTCATCACCAGGATACTCCACAAACCCTAAAGAGAGGTAGCCCAACTAGATGGGGTCTGAATCTCAGAGAGGGCACCAGCCCCAGGCATCAGTTGCTCTGGCCCACATCCTTTTAGCCCTTTTATCTTTTCTATACCCTGAAGCCTTTGCCCCAACCCTGGAGAAGCTAGAAGCAGCAGAGAGTTGAAAGCTAGAAGGGAGAAGGAGGAAGAAAAGAGGAAGAAAGGGAGGAGTGAAACTCCCTTCCTCACCCATTTTAACTTCTTTTCTTCCTCAGGCCTGGGCTGAGAAGGAGCAGGTGTGGGCAAAAGAGGAGGTGGGAGAAGCTTTGAATGAGAGATTGAAGTTTTAATATGAACCTGGACTAGACTGCTCAGTATCTAAAAGTGAGACCATCACATCTGCAAGGGACCAGAAGGCTTTGGCATCTGCTTGAGATATCACCCAATAGGCTGTGATTGAAGGCAGTGGTAAAAGAAAAACAAGGCCATGTCCCTTCTACTTCCATGTTGTTACATATGCATTTCATTCAACATGGGTTCTCCATTTTTTATGAAAAGGGCAAATTACAAAGTCCAACTTCATTACAAATCCAGCTTTACAATGTGTAATACTCATCACAGAATACCTTGAAGACTGCATTTTGATATTGAATCTCCAAAAGAAATCAGCTGTTAGTGGATCCACATTGTAGGAGTGCCTGAGGCTGTTTCTCCTTTCCCATCAACCGTCCCCAAACTGTCACCTGATTTTTCTCTGCCATATCAAACAAGGCCAAATCTAGTAAGACCATATCTAATATGTATAAAATAGTTTGTGATACTCCTGGACTCGCCAGTGATACTATTATGTGAGTTTTTCCAATTGTTGATTATGGTACTGAGAAGGACATCAATTTAGATGAAATTGTACTTGGTAGCTATATGGACAATTCCTATGTCCACTCAGATTCAGTGTTAGTCTTTCCCTTCTTTCTTATCACTGTAGAATTCTAAGATTAAGGGGTTCTTCCTCAAGATTTGGGAAAGTTGCTCCTAGGGATAGAGACATACATCTAAAAGAGCTGGTTTTTGTCCTACCTCTCCTGACTTCTCCAATGGACCCTGAGAGGCTCTGTGAGGGAGGGCAGTCATACTTACTCTTCATTGACAAACATGAGTTCCAGAGAGGGTTGGCTGTTGTTTACATCAAGACCTACAATGGCAAAGAAACACAGAGGTGAGACATAAGACTGGAAATAACACTGTGGGTGGTGTAGTTCAGGGACTCAGATGAGAAGTGTGGTGGATGATGACTCCTTTACTCTCTGGCCTGAAGAGTATAGGAGGGTTTGTGGATGCAGACAAGCCCCAGCATTTTTGTAGTAACCCTTGAGCATCTGGGACAAGGAGCAGTGGGGATGCCTGTAAGTGAGGGAGGAGCAAGGAGCTTGGAGTGGGGATCAGGGAAGCTTCAGGTTACTAGAGCTTGGTATGAGAAAGAAGGGAGAGGGAAGAGGAAGGGAAGGGCATAGGTGAGGAGATTATGGGGATGGACACTAGGTAGGACAGTGTCACAAGACAAGACTGGCAGGGGACCAAGGGAGGAGGTTGGAAGAGCCCAAGGGAGGAGGTTGGAAGAGCAAAGGGGAAATGAATTCCAGAAAGCTGTACTGGTAGGCTCAGGTTCTTCAGCACTGGAGTCGCCCGCCATGAGTTGCTCATCTTCAGCGCTGACCAGCTCCTGCAGCACGGCCTCCACAATGGGCATTACCATGGCAGTGGTGGAAGTGTTAGAGAGCCACATGGACAGCATCGTGGTGCAGCACATGAAGCACAGCAGCAGCCTAGAAGATAGGGAGCATTGGGGGAAGAGGATCAGTGGAATGCCCGAATTCCAGGAGCCACTGGTGGACCTTGCAGGTCACTTATGGGGTCTCCTGCCAACCAACCCCATGGTGCTGGTCTTGAGAAGTGTGGTTTGCCTTTACCCACCAAATTGAGTTTTTATGTTCTACAGGGTGTCATCCAGCCTTGTACTCCTAGTGTGTGGCACAGAGTAATCATCAATGTCAATGTCTAATGAATGGATTGCACTTCATGGACTAGTGACCTTAAGCCAGGAAGAAGCTCTTACTTAAGCAATGAATAGCTTTGGTAGAAGGGTCACAGGGTGTGGACTTACTCATTGCTCATGTCTGTGGACATTCCATGGAACTCAGTGACGTATGTTTCCTGTGTATAAGGGGATTCTTTTCTGCCCTTGCAGGCAGCAATTCTATGAGTGCCATTGCATTCCTTGTTTTGCAGCAAGTCACCAAAATTGTTAGTGAGCAAAGAGAGATCAGTGTTTGGAGTTCACAGTTCTGCTCACTACTTGTTCTACCACCAAAATTATTAAAGTATAGCCCCAACATCACAGAAGTGGCCCCATGTCACTGTGTGCACTTTTCCAGCTGGTATCTAAAGCAGTCAAGCCTGGAGAAAAACACCAGCAAAGATAACCTTCAAATTACTTCTCTTTGACTTGGAAAATGTTGTGCAATGTGTACCTGTACAGGCATGGTTCTAGTTTCCATAAGGTAAGACAACATGACGCCTACCCCTGTTTATTATTTTAGGTGACTTTGCACAACTTGGGGACAATACATTTGTCATGTGGACTATGCTGAGTAGGGCCCAGTCCTGATGGTGTTTTCTTTAGGCTAACAGTGACATGAGTTTGTCTGTCCTGTACATGCAGTGGCCACATAGCACGTAGGATGGAAACTTACTGAATGAAGAGGTAAATAGGGAAAAGTGGAAACACAAATGGATAAAAATTCCTTTTTTTTTGTACTGGAGTTTGAACTCAGGAATTTGTAGTTGCTAGGCAGGTGCTCTACTGCTTGAGTCATGCCTCCAGCCCAGAAATTCTTAAAGCTAGTACACAGAGATTTGCAAGAGCCACAGTTTCCATAAGATGTGAGGAAATGCCATTGTGTGTATGATTGAGCATGGACAGATGATTGCTGGGGGAGGAGGAGGTTAAGCTGTAGTGAGCACTTGACAATCTGGGAGACAGGTACATACTTTTAAGCACAAACTATATGCATGTAAATGACTCATGTTGAAAACTAAACTGTATGATTTATTTCTACTCCGACTCCCTAAGAACTCAGGGTGGCTTACACAAAATGTAGAAAGAAGGTGGTGAACTGGAATTAAGGGAGAAAGGCTTCCAAAGGGAAGACAAAGAAAAGGGACCAGTACTGCAGTAGTGATGCTCATACTGACATACCCACACATTTCCTGACCATGGGACTCTCTCCCATGGAACTTTCTTGACAGTAGAGTGAAAAGAGGAAACAGCTGAGGTCATGGTCAAATACAATGTGCCTAACGGGTCTGTGGTGTTAAGAGATGACAAAAACCGAAACATCCACATCTCCTTAAATGGTGACAGAGAAGATAACCACCTCTTTGTCCAGCCTGTTCCCTGACCCCCAGGAGAAAGGTTGGGAACCATTTTTAGTGGCTCATCTTGTGTTACAAGAGCCCCTTGGGTGTGGTGGCCTGCTGGCTTTGTAATCTAGGTTGTCAGGTAAATTCTTTAGATGATAGTGACACCAGGGTTCCTGTTTCTAATCCATATTCCATGGCTATAGGACCTCTCAGTGGAGGGTGAGGTGCAAACTCCATGGGTCTGTGTTATGTCCTCCCCATGAGCTAAAGTGAATGTCCCGCTGTGGCCCAGGCTCACTTTCCCAGCAGTGTCCCGGGAGCCGGAGGGATTCACCTCACCCAGAACCTCAAGCAGGACTCACATGCCGGGCTTGGCCCCCGCCATCAAGACCATCCGCAGGGCGATGCGCTTGTGCAGGTTCCACTTCTCCACTGCCGCCGCCACGCAGATGACGCCCGCCAGCAGCAGCGTGGTATTCTTGAAGTACTCGGCAGCTACCTGTGGGGAGGCCGGGGCGATCAGTCACCCTCTCCCACCCAGGGCCCAGCACCAGAGCCAAGCTACATACACTTTGGTATCGTCAAATATATCAATGCTTATTTTCCAAGAACAGGAATTTTCTCTTACATAACTATAGCACCAGTTTTAACCCTTTTCCTCATTTTAATGGTGTGGAAATTGAGACGCAGGCTCATTAAAAAGGTGTTGCATACATCTGGGGTTCATGTGCCGTCTTCATGTGATTCCCTCTCTTGGAACATTGTGTCTTCATCTCTGGCCGCACAGTCTGATTAGACTGCAGGCCTGGTGCACTTCAGGCCTGGTGCACTCCAGAAAACCTTCCTGTGGTTCTAGCTTCTCATTCCAGAACATTTCTTGTGGCTGTGAACTAATTCTGCACACCACAGAGCACTTGGGATAACGCTTGAATTGTTGCTCCTTCACGTGTGTACTGTAGTTTGCTTATTTTATATGTCTCTCTTGTCTTTTTTTTTGGTGGTACTAGGGTTTGAACTCAAGGCCTCACACATGTCAGGCAGGGGCTGTACCACTGGAGCCACCTCCCGCCCTTCTCTTGTCTTTTAACTAAATTTTAAAGTGCTAATGGCCAAGGACTATGGTTCCTTCCCATGTCTCTTAACACTTAGCAGAATAATACACAAGAGTAGATACTCAGTGAATATTTGTTACATACATGAGAACTGTTAGAAATTGAAAGGAAAAGAGAAAAGTTTAACTTCTAACTCAAAGCTCCTCTTCAAGTGAGAAAACAAGAACATTTTTTTTACTGCAGGAAAGAAAGTTGAACAGGAAATTTAAACATAAAATATGTGGCCTTTGAAGTAAACAATATTTGTGTAATCATTATGTTACATTTTGATTACTGAATTAACAAAAGCTGTGATATAGCCAATTGGGAAGATGGAGGGCCATCCCTCCATGGGATGATAAGAGAACAAAATCTTCATCTGCTAGAACAGGAAGTCAACTGATAATGCCTAATCAAAGTGATGACTCAAGAATTAATATAAGAATATTGGGGCTTGGTGGAATGGCTCAAGTGGTAGAATACCTTCCTAGCAAGTGTGAGGCCCTGCATTCAAACCCCACTACCACAAAATTAAAAAAAAAAAAAAGAATATCATATAGGAACATAGAGCTTAATGCCAGGAGAAGCAGGTAAGAGTTACAGGTCACTGAGTGTAAGGGTAGATTGGTGGGACTTGGGGAGTGTGAGCTAGTGGAGGGGAGGGAGAATGAGACTTCACTTTTTATTATCAGCCTTCCAGTAATATTCAATTTAAACTTCGTGAATGTAACCCTTTGATAATATCACAGTCATAATAATTAAGAAAGCAGTCTGCTTTATCTCTCCCTTTTCTGTCTTGTTCCATGGACATTTCATCACCTTTGGTTGGGTTGTTTGTGTAGAAGGAAATCTGCTGTCTGTGAGATCATTTATTTCCTGGAAGGAAGAGCCCTGTGCTTTTGGTTAACCTAGTTCTTGTCCCCAAGCTCACTCCTCAGCTGCTGACCAGGGTCACTAATGCTCCCTGAGGACAGAGAAGGCCCCCTGCTCTGGACAGGAGGAGGTATCTCTGGGAGCTGCAGTGGCCATGGGGGAGGATTCTGCTCCCTAGTGGTAGGATGCCTGTGGGCTGCATCTGAGCAGGGGGTCTAGGAGTTTCTCAGTGGCTTATTTCCTCCCCAGGCTAACAGAAGGCAGTTCTGTAGCACAAACAGGGCTTTATCTTCCTCTATCTACCGAGGAGGAAACCCCATAGCAGACACAGACACAGTAGTTTGTGGGGACGCTCCCTTTACCAGTCCCATGACTTACCTTCCCTAAGAAGTTGTCAAAGAGTCACTATGATCAGGTTGACTTTTCCAGGGGCCTGACAATAAACTTTACTTTTCTGCCTCTTTGGCACATGTCATTCCAGCACACCAGCTTGTCTATAATGGCTTTTTAGAAGGCACTGTCTTCCACTTAATGGGAAGGGAAAGGAACCCACAGGCAGAGAACCTTCTGCATGTCTGGCATTTTGCATCTTTGCTTTTGCTTTTTCCTTTGAGCTCTACATCAGTGCTAAGAGGTGGATACTGCCAGTGTCTTCCTTTACAGATAAGCAAACTTAAGGAGGTTAAGACACATGTCCAAGGTCACAGTGCAGCTGAGGCAGGGTATCAATCCAAGTCCATCTGAATCCAAAGTCTATAGACAACATGCCATATAGGGTAGGTCAACTGGAAACCAGTTTGGACTTGAATTTTCTTGGTCACCAGACAGCAAGGGCTGGCACCAAGTTCTTATCTTCATTCCTAATCACAATCCTGACACTGGCCCTAAAAGCCCAGGCCTAGGACCAGTGTGAGGCTGTGTCAGTGAGACTTCTGTGCTGCCATTTTCTCATTAGGTGTTTAGTGGGCTTTGTTCTATCCATAGGCTTTCCTGTCTTGTAACTGTTGCCATGCATTTATACCCTGGGGCTCAGAATGTAGTTTGTGACTATAGAGGTAGCATAGTGGGAAGAGTGAGGACTCCAGAACCAGTCAAATCTCAGCTGTGTGACCCTAGGCATGTTATCACATTTTTCAATCTCTCTGACCTTCATTTTCTTTATCTTAAAAAGAAAAACAAAACAAAACAAAAATCAAAAACCTTAATGTTTTACCTTGTAAAGTTGCTGCAAAGATTATTGCCTGCCTCAACACCCAGGATTTCTAGTGACTTCTGGTTATGAAGTACTCTGCACAAAGGCTGACCTGGTCTGAGGCTATTAGCACACAGACTGGGCTCATGCAGAGAGCAAAGCCACAGGGCTGCCTTTTCACTTTTGTAAATTAAAATCCTGCTCAGTGGTGTTGTTTGTTGGTTTTCCAGCCCATTGATTTTTCTTTCACAATAAACCCTGCCTTATTCAGAACCCCCCAGGGAACACCAGAGTCCTAGGATTCTTGAGGATTAGCTTATTCGTTTTCTAAAATGTGTTGCTTATTTTCTGTCTTTATTAACAGAGCCCAGGCATTCTCCTAGCCTTCTGTCAGACGTGTGCCAGCTCTCCTGGGTCATACCTTTGTCTCAGCAGCTCCTACATCTGGCTAGTTGTCCAGGCTGCTGGTCATTCTGAGCCCCGTGTCTGCATTTTACAGCTTTTCTGTCTTATTCTTAGGCTGTGCCACTTTCTGTTGTCACCATTAGCAGCCTTTTCCTCACTTTCTAATATTCTGTGACAAATGTTCTTTGACTTGGGAAATCAGATAACAGAGCCTGTTAGAGTTATTTGTAAAGAGAAATTAGGTTCCAAACAGGTATTCCTTCCAGGGGTAAGGTGCATAGATTTTGTGACATGAGGTTGGCACTTTTGATTGCTTTTACTGCCTTTCTGCTCTGTGGTCTTTCCCAGTATGCCACGTCCCAGAACCTGGAGAGGACAGGTGTTTTCAAATTGCATTTTAGAAAAGATAGGCTCATGGACCCTATGGAAAGGTATAGCAGAGGAGTGCAGTGAAGAGATTGGGCTCTGGAGGTCAGACTGTGGCTGTCCTCCCACAAGTGGATCTTTGTATTCATCACACCAACATTTTAAGAGGCAACGATAGAGCTTCGTAGCTCATTTAGTCTGCCATGATGTGGTCCTTGGGTAAGATAGTACAGAGGACTCTTAGACAATTGCTTGCCCCATGGGAAATGCTTAATAAAATGTTTCCACCAAAGAAATTTAAAAAAAATCAACTGCAGGTAGGAATCAACTGCCCGCCTAAGCAAGTGAAGGGAACAAGAGAAGGAAGAGCATCAGAAGGAACAAGGAGACCTAAAAGGTAAAGATGCCTTCATGCCTTCTGAAGTGATTGGTAGCTGCTTCAAAAGAGCTTTCTGACTTGGCCTAGATTCAGAGGCAACAAACATTCTTGCTGGCGAATGTGGTCTATTAATTAACTAGTCCTTTGTTAGAAAATTGCAGGTGACTTCAGTTAGTGATGAGCTTTAAAGAACATTAATTTCCTTGGATACAGAATTATTCATTGCTGACTGAACATAGAAGTCTTCCTTTAGCTACAGTTTTGCTTTTTGTAGTTTTGGTTACCTAAGGCCAATGTGGTTGGAAATATTAAATGGAAACTTCCAGAAATAAACGATTCATAAGTTTAAAATTGTGTGCTCTTCTCAGTTGCCTGATAAAATCTCATGCTCTCCCATTCTTTATTCTTCTTGGGACATGAGTCATTCCTTGCCCACTGTATTCACTCTGTATATGCCACCCCTCTGTTAGTCATTTCTTAGTCATCTCAGTTAACAGATTCAACCCTTATTTTACTTAATAATAACTCCAATGTGCAAGAGATGGAAAGGAGGAACCAGGGCATAAAACATGGAGGGACAGATTAACTCTTGTTCCATGTGGTAATGCTTTAGGGCATATAAGAAAAAATATATATACATAGAGCTCAGCACTACCCAGGGTTTCAGCCCTCCACTGGGGGTCTTAGAATGTATCCTCCATGAATAAGTGTGGACTACCATATTTTTTTTTTAAGTTTTTTAAAATGAGAGGGGGAATTGGTAGCTCTATTCCCAGATGTTTGAGAATGAAACCTGGACATTAACCTCTGCACACTGTTTTTCTCACAAAGAATGCACAGTTCATACTCTCTGGTGCCTTCTCCACAGAGGGGAGACAGAGACAGACCAACTCTTCATTCTTTCCTATATGCCAAATATTTTTGTCTAAAACCCTCACGAATCTCTCAGGGTAAGTATTTCTAACACTGTCATTCTTCGAGTGAATGGCAGTTATGTGAGATCACAGAACTTGCTCACAACTTGCCAGCATCAATGGTGGATTCGAGCTCAGTTCTACTTTGTTCCAAACCTGGTCCTGACCCTGTCTGCATTTCCTGTACTACTTTTTGCCCATCATACAGCAGGAATCCTCCCCCTACTCTGAGCCAGAGAATGGCAGGATGTGTGCAAGTGACTTTGTCCATGCTCCTGA